CTCCATCCCACACCTTGGGCAGGATGTGACCACGCAGGAGGTGCTGGCAGCTGGTGGCTGTGTCCCCCCGAGGCCATGGCAGGCTCAGGATGTCCCTGTGAGCCCCAAAACCACCCTTTCCCAGCCCAGGAGTGAAACCTCTGTCCCGAGTGGGACGTGGCCACTGGGGATGTTTTGTTTTGCTGCCAAAACAAAAAAAGGGAGGAAATAGCCACTCCGTGATGGATGGGAAAGTCCTGGCCTGCCAGTCCCCTGAGTCCACCCYGTCATTGTTCCCAGCCTGAGCTGTGCTGCTGGCACCATCCTGGCATCTCCATGCGGGATCCGGGCGGCTTTGCTGGGATTTAGCAGCTGGGCTGTGTCACGGCTATGTCCTGTCCCCCTGGACAGCCACACAGTGCTCTAAAAGGGCCCAAGGGCAGTGGCTTGTCCTGTGTGTCCTCTCCGGCCAGTCTGGTCCCATCCCAACCCCCTCCTGTGCCACCCCATCTGTCCCATCTTGTCCCATCCTGTCCTGTCATGTCTGTCCTGCCCACTCTGTCCCATCCATTCTGGTCTGCCCCACCCTGCCCTGTCCAACCCTACCTGCCTCATCTTGTCCCATCTTGTCTCAACTGCACTGTCACACTGTGTCATCCACGTCCCATCCCATCCCATGGATCCCATCCCATCCCATCCCATGGATCCCATCCCATCCCATCCCATCCCATCCCATCCCATCCAATCCAGCTCTCCAGTCCATCTCATTCCATCCTGTCCCATGCCAGCCTGTGCTGTTCTGTCCCATTGTGTCTGTCCCACCTTGTCCCATCCCATCAGGTCTGTCCTGTCCCGTTTGTCCCGTTTGTCCCATGCCATCCCACAGGATGCAGATGTGCACACAGATGTGCACTGACCCCCCACTCCCTCCCCATCCCCCAGTACACCCTCAGAACCTCCAGTGCTCCCCAGTGCCCCCCAGACCCCCCTCAAGCCCAGGGCTGGTCCCCACAGGTCTGACAGAGGATGAGGATGTCCAGCGGATGCTCCGGGGGTCCCTGCTCTGGAAGGTCAAGGCCAAGGGGGGCTCCAGGGAGCGGCTGTTCCGCCTGCAGGAGGACGGGGTGACCGTGTGCTTCGAGGGACGCTTCGGGCGYGCCCGCTCCCCCCAGAGCTGTGAGTGACAGCCCCACAGGGGCTCGAGGACACCGGGACACATCTGGAGCTGTAGGGAAGGGCCAGGTCCTGGGCAGTGCCCCAAACCCACCCAYAGACCCCCAYCCAGTCCTAGACCCTCACCCAGACYCCACCTGGGACCCAGAYCCCAATYCAGGACCTTGTCCACAACCTTGGACCTGGACTCCCACCCAGGATCCAGACACATGTGAGACCCAGACCCCAATCCAGGACCCCCACCTGGAACCCAGAGCCTACCCCAGGACCTGAACCCCCACCCAGGACCCAGATCCATTCCCAGCACCCAGAACCCCACCTGGAGCCCCACGCAGAACCCAGACTCCACCTGAGTTCCAGGCCCCAACCCAGGACCCAGACCTCAGCCCAGGACCCAAATCCCCATATGAGAACCAGACCCCACCCCGGGATRTGGAACTCCACAATGCAGACCCCAYCCARACCCSCAYCTGTGAYYCCTGGGATGGGGGTGCCCCSTGGGACACAGATCCCTGCCTGGAGCCCCCCCCATGACCTGGACCCCAGATCCCAACCCAGGACCCAGACATCTCCCAGAACCCAGACCCCAATCCAGGACCTGCCCAGACCCTGGGATGCAGACCCCAACCCAARATATGAATCCAGTCCAGAATATGGACCCCCACCCGATACCTGAGCCCCCAACCCACTTCACCCAACACCTCCCAGTGCCTCCCAGTGCCTCCCAGTACACCCCCTGCTGATCCCTCAGAGCCCCCACCCTTCCCCATCCCCCTGGGGTCAGCGCAAGGTCCTGTCTCCACCCCAGCCAGACTCTGTCCCCCTCCCTGGCGTCACCCATCCCTTTTCACCCTCCCGTCTGGGATGGGTGCCTGGAGCTGGCACCGCTGCCAGGCGGCTCCATCCCCTGCCAGCGTCCCGGTCCCCAWCCCCGCGGGGACAGCGGCCGCGCCTCCTGTCTCGCCTGGGATTAGCGGGTTAAGCCCGGCCTAGCGCCGTCCCCCGGGGGTGTCCGCCAGCAGCCRGGGYGGTGTCWCACAGGGYGGGTGACCCGAGCCTGCCCASGGTCCCTCGCCAGCCCTGCCCGTGTCCCCACAGTCTCGGTGGCGCAGCTGGAGGCGGTGCGCGAGGGTCGCCAGTCGGAGGGGCTGCGCAAGCACGGGGCCGCGTTCCCCGAGCGCCACTGCTTCACGCTCGTCTTCAAGGGACGCCGCAAGAACCTGGACCTGGCGGCCCGCGGCGAGGAGGACGCCCGGCACTGGGTGCAGGGGCTCGCCAAGCTGATGGGGCGGCTGCAGGCCATGAGCCAGATGGAGAAGCTCGACCAGTATCCTTTGAGGGATCTCAGGGGGCTTGGGGACAGGTTGGGGATAGGCTGGGGACAGGCTGGGTGACGCCAGGTGGTTTCCTTACCTGGGCACAGCTGGATCCACGGGGTCCTGCAGCGAGCTGACAGGAACAAGGACAACAAGATGTCCTTCCGGGAGGTGAAGAGCATGCTGAGGATGCTCAACATCGACATGGACGATGTCTACGCCTCCAAGCTCTTCAAGGTACCCGTCCTCAGTGGCACTGCCTGCTGTCCCCGCTGCTGTCACCGGGAGGGAATCGCTGGCTCCTTTTCCAGTGCCGGAACTGACCAACCCCTCACACCCAAAGCCACCCACTGCCACCGATGGCTGGGCACCATCAGGAGCACATGGTGGGGTGGGGTGGGCTGTTCCTGTCACCGTACCCTGTGTCCCCAAGGTGTGACATATCTCCCCCATGGAGAATTGTCCCTCTGGGCATCTCCCAAGGTGCCTTTCCACCTGGGGAAACTGAGGCACAGATATCTGCTCTGCTCCATTTGGCACTGGAGGGTCAGAGGGCTCTGGGTGGGGGAACAGAGGGGACGTGTCAGTGGCTGAGCCCCCCAAACTCATCACACACACACTGCCAGCTGCAGGGGACAGGCAGGACAAGGCAGGGGGTGGCCGTACCCCTGTCCCCACAGGGAGGGGACAGTCCCTGAGGCTGGGCTGTGTCCCATCAGGAGTGTGACCACTCGGGCAACGAGCGGCTGGAGGGCTGGGAGCTGGAGGAGTTCTGCCGGCAGCTGCTGCGGCGGCCGGAGCTGGAGGAGCTCTTCGGGCGTTACTCGGGCGAGGATCGGGTCCTGTCGGCCGAGGAGCTGCAGGATTTCCTGCGGGATCAGGGAGAGGAGTCCAGCCTGCGCCAGGCCCGCGCTGTCATCCGCACCTATGAGCTCAACGAGAAGGGTAGGGCTGACGGGGTGACAAGGTGACATGGTGGCATGGTGGCATGGTGGCATGGTGGCATGGGCACTGCTGGAGCCACGGGAAGCCATGGGTGGTGTGGGAATGGGGCTCTGCTTGGTGGTGTCACCCCCCAAACTGGTATGGGGTCCTCTGAGGTTGGGTGAGTGTCCCCGTGTCCCTTCCCACCGGTGTCAGCCACCCAACACATGGCCTGGTGGATGTGGCACTGAGGGGACAGGGGATGAGAAGGTAGGGATGGACAGGAGGTGGAGTTCCATGTCACCTGGGTGATGTGACACCAGCCCTGGTATGAATGTGACACTGCCTCAGGTGCCACCATGGAGGGTCCAGGGCAAACATGGTGCTAGGAGGACAGGGGACATCATGGTGGGGACAAAGGGTGTCCATATCTTTAGGGTGTCACTGGTAGATGTGGCCATTAGGGTAGATGTGACAGTAGCAGGATGGGGACATCAGATGGGAGATGGGACACAAAGGGACACATCTCCTGGCGGTGCCATAGTGCCAGGTCTGGGGTGAACATGGCACTGTGAGAGCAGAGGGCATCAGGGTTGGGGACAAGGAACCTCCACCCCACAGATGTCACCGTGCCATGTCCACGGTCAATGTGGCACTAGCAGGATTGGGACATCAGGATGGAGATGGGASACTCAAGGGAACTTCCATGTCCCTGGGTGCCACAGTGCCAGCTTAGGGCTGAGCATGGACACCCTGGGGACATCCAAGAGGGGAAGCCCCCTGACAGTGCCACACACACCCTCTGTGACACCTGGCACCGTGTCCCCGCAGCCAAGCGGCAGGACCTGATGATGCTGGACGGCTTCACCATGTACCTGCTGTCGGCYGCCGGGGACATCCTCAACCAGGAGCACACCCGGGTGCACCAGGACATGAGCCAGCCCCTGAGCCACTACTTCATCTCCTCGTCCCACAACACCTACCTGACCCGCAACCAGATCGGCGGCACCAGCAGCACCGAAGCCTATGGCAGGTGGGTGTCCCCGGTCCCCGGTGGCTCCAGCGTGACGCTGGGGCGGTGGCAGTGACGGTGGTGTGGCGGTGACAGGGCGCTGAGGGCGGGGTGCCGCTGCGTGGAGCTGGACTGCTGGGAGGGCTCYGACGGGGAGCCTGTCGTCTACCACGGCCACACGCTCACCTCCAAAATCCTCTTCCGCGACGTCATCGAGAGCATCCGCGACTCCGCCTTCGAGGTGAGGCCGGGGACGCCAGCCCTGGGGGGTTCTGGGTGTCGGGTGCTGGGTTCTGGGTGTCAGGTGTCAAGGTCTAGGTGCAGTGTTCTAGATGCCTGTTCTAGATCAGCGTTCTAGGTATTGGTTCAGGTTCTAGATAAACGTTCTAGCTGCTGATCCCAGTTCTAGCTCAGCATTCTATGCACTGTTGCCGGTCCTAAATCCAGGTTCTAGGTTTCGAACTCGGTTCTAGATCAGTGTTCTAGGTACAGACCCCGGTTCTAGATCGGTGTTCTGGGTGCTGGACCCTGTTCTAGATCAGCGTTCTAGGTATCGGGGCCTGGTTCTAGATCAACGTTCTAGGTGTTGATCCCATGTTCTAGATCAATATTCTGGGTGCTGAACTAGGGTCTAGATCAGAGTTCTAGGTCTCAGCTTCCGGTTCCAGATCAACGTTCTAGGTCTCGGGACTTTTCCCGGATCTAGATCAGCATTCTAGGTGCCAGGTTCCACATGCAGAGTTCTAGATGCCACGTTCTAGGTGTAACATTCTAGGTGCCGGATCTAGAGCAACATTCTAGGTATCGGTTCTAGGTGCCACAATTCTAGGGTTCTAGATGCAGAGTTCTAGATGTAACAGTCTATGTGTCAGTTCAAGAGGCAATGTTCTAGGTGCAGGGCTCTGGGTTCTGCATTCTGTGTGACAGGTCCTGGGTGCTGGGTCTTGGGTGYAGGGTGCTGGGTTTTGAGTGTCAGGTTCTGGGTTCTGAGTGCTGGGTCTCAGGCGCCAAGTGCTGGGTTCTGGATGCTGAGTGCCGGGTTCCGGATGTCTGGTTCTGGGTGCCGTGTCCTGGGCACTAAGCGTCTGGTTCTGGGTGCCGGGTGTTGGGTTCTGAGCACTGCCCATCCCCATGCCCAGAAATCTCCCTACCCCGTCATCCTGTCCCTGGAGAACCACTGCGGGCTGGAGCAGCAGGCCACCATGGCCCGGCACATGAGGACCATCCTGGGGGACAAGCTGCTGACACAGCCCCTGCAGGGGCACGACCCCCACCATCTCCCCTCCCCSGAGGTAAGGCCACCCACCCGCCCACTGCCGTGTCCCCGTGTCCCCTCCGAGCCCTGAGCTCGGCCCTGCCTCCTGCAGCAGCTGAAGGAAAAGATCCTGGTGAAAGGCAAAAAGCTGCCGGAGCTGTGGCAGGAGCCCCGGGGTGTCACCTGCGAGGAGGAGGAGGAGGAAGAGGAGGAAGAGGAAGAGGAAGAGGAGGAGAAGGTGCAGGAGAGAGGCCCTCGGCGGGTAAGGGGCTCTCCCAGGGATGTGGTGCCAGGGGACCAGGGCATCCTGGTGGTCCTGATGGATCAGAGCATCCTGGTGGTACCAGGGAACCATGGAATCCTGTAGGACCAGGGCATGCTGGAGGACCATGGAGTCTGGGTGGTCCTGGTGGATTACAGCACTCTGGGGAGGGACCATGGMGTCCTGGTGATGCTGTGGATCAGAGCACCCTGGAGGTGCCAGGGGACCCCTGGTGGCCCTGTGGGACCATGGAGCCCTGGCACTGTCCCAGGTGGGCACTGCCAGCAGTCCCCTCTGCAGCCCCGCTCTCTCTCTTGCAGTCGCTGCAGTCGCTGCAGGAGATCAAACCTCTGCAGGTGGGTGATGGGGTGGAGCTGGGGGGGCTGATGGGGCTGGTGCTGTGGGGTGGGGAGCGGCTGTCACTGCCTGGCAGAGGGGACTGAGCTTGGGGACCCCTCAGCTGTGCCTCCCTCATCCCACTGGGATGGGTGGGTGGTCCATTTCTGGGGTTTATGACACTTTGGGTGTCCATCACACCCAGGGTGACCCACTAGGGTCTCCATGGCCTCAGTTTCACATCACTTCAGTGGCTCCATCACCTCGAGGTCTCTGTCACCACAAATATTCCATCACTTCAGGTTCTCCATCACTTTGGGGTCTCCCTCACCTTGGGGTCTGTATCATCTGGGGCTGTCCATCCCCTTGGGGTTCAGGATCTCAACCTGCCTGGGTTCCCCATCAGCCCCTGGTCCCTCATCCCATTCATTGCCTCAGGTTCTGCACCACCTTGGGTCTCCATTGCATTGGGGTCCCCACCACCCTGAGGGTCCCCATGGCCTTGGGGGTCTCAGCACTCAGCACCAGCAGGGTAGGGAGGTCTGSAGACCCTTTGGTGACCACCAGAGCCAGGGTGGCCCTGACGCCACGGTGGCTCTGCAGGCCAAGGACGCGTCGCAAGTGTCCCCAGAGCTGTCGGCGCTGGTGGTGTACTGCCAGGCTGTCCCCTTCCCCGGGCTGGCACAGGCCCTGCGCCACCCCCAGCCCTGCCAGCTGTCCTCCTTCAGCGAGAGGAAGGCACGGAAACTCATCAAGGAGGCGGGTGAGGGTGACGGGATGGGGACAGGGA